GTTTTTGATGAGAGAATAACATAATATGATGTGAAGCTCAAAGTTGGTTTTACATAATGCTGCCCCTTAAACCCAATACTTCAAAGAAAACACAAAACAACAACAAAAAGCGTATTGTATCAGTACGGGTATCAGCAATACAGGCCCTGTATTTACTTGGTATCTGATCGATATGTTTAGTAGAAAGTTGAGGCCAGACCTGCTGTTTGAGGTGAACCTCTTGCTGCTTCATCAACTCGCATATCCTCTGAGACTCCACGGCTTCCTTCAGCAGCTACACATGTAGAACAAATCGTAAACACCAAGTTCTTTCAACACCACAGACAGACGCTTATTTAGTTTCTCCAAAACGGCGCTCACAAAGTCTTTCTCCCGGTCATGGTGTTCCTCCGACTCCTTCAGCATCTCCTGCGCCTGGTGCAGCTTGGCGTCCACCAGCTGCTGCTGCAGGTCTTTGTGCTTCACCACTTTGTCTATGTGCTGTTTGTCAGGTCACACACATACACACATAGTTCTCCGTGAATAGAAGGCGGTTTAAAAAAGCGGAATGCAGACGTGAAGAGGAGAGGTCCTCACCTCCTCCCGCAGCTTGTACTGCTCGTAGAGCTTCTTGAGTTTCTCGGCCAGCTCGGCGTTCTCCTGCCGCAGGCTGGCGTTCCTCTCGTTGTGCTGTTCCATCTGAGCCTGGATGTCGTTCAGCGTCGCCTGGAAGTGGGACGTCACCTCCTTCCTCTTCTCCTCCTCCAGTCGGGTCCTCTGGATCCCTTCCTCCTGTAGGGGGGGGGAGAGTCGAAATTAATCAAATAATGAATTAAAATGAGCTTGATAAGTTCTGTCCTCATGATTTTTTTCTTCATAATCCATTTTATTTATGTTTTCAGTTCTGTATGGGGGTTTTGTATTTCTAATTTATTTATCATCTTGTTTTATTTTGGATATTTAAAATGTCTTCCAGGTCCAGTGTTAAATGTTTTTCACAAAATTAGAGTATTGATTTGATTACTCTATAAGAAGGCGTATTTACGACACTGTTGTACATTCATTAATAATTAATTTAAGTACAATACCATTATCATTATATTACTTGAAAATGGTCTCAAAACACCAATATTATTATTTATCGCAGTCATTTCAAGGACAAGTTATTGTCACAGGTCTGGAATTATTCCTGCTGAGCCGATTTAAAGCGGTTGGTTTGCTACCTTGAGCGTGCGGTTGTGTCTCTGCAGCTCCCTGCAGAGGCTCTCCAGCTTGCTGCGGGCCAGGATGGCCTTGCTGTGCTCATTCCTCAGGTTGTCCTTCTCCTGCACCAGCTGGCTCTGCTTCTTCTGCAGCGCCCTCATCTGTTTCTGGGTGGTACGATGCTCTTCCACCTAAAAAGAGGGATTAAAAATGTGTGTTTTGGGTTATTTCTTTTGGCAAATGTTTAAAAATATAGATATTATTTAACCAGTTCCTCCAGGATTTTATGATTGTTTTTCTGATTTTAAAAAATCAGTCAAAATGACTGATTTTGTGGAGCTACTTTAGAAATACCTGCTTGTCCAAGGAGGCCAGTGCCTACAAACAAGAGCGTCGCAAACAGAATCTGATATTTATGTATAGTTTTTCTCTAATTTTAATATCAGGAAAGCACAGTTAAACAGTAGTCACTTACCAGGTCGGCATACTTTTTGCAGAGGCCTGCCAGCTTTTCCTCAGGCGTGCTCAAAGTGTTCAGAGTCTGCATGAGGAGTGTGATCTCTTTGCCTGCATCACACAAACATCATTTCAATTGAAACAAAAAATATTGACAAATCAGATCAGCTGAAAGAACTTTCTTTAAGCAGTCTGTTTCCTACCGAGGCCCTTCACTTTCTTCTTCTCCTGAGTCTTCTTCTGCTCCTTCTCTGCTCCGTTGACCTTGCCCTCCTCCGATTTGTCGTCTTCCTTCCCTCCAGTCAACCCATTGAGCACCAGGCTGTGTGACTGGCCATTGAGCAAGGCACCAGCGTCGTCCTGAAGGCTCTCCCTGCAGTAGGTGCTGAGGATGTCCTCCAGCTGCCGGCTCAGTTCCTCTGCCATGTCGCACTGAGACTCGGCAACTGGACACAGCAAGGGGGGAGCGTTTTTTAAGTCAACCGGTAACTATGGCAACCTTTAACAATTTCTACATTGAAATTACGGACCTTCATTCCCACCCTCGTTGGTTTGTGAAGGGCTTTTTGCGCGTGGGCTCTGTGATTCGGCCCGGTTGGGGCTGTTGCTGTCCGAGCCGCCTGTACTCGCGTGAGCCGCAGGTGGAGCGGCAGGTGGAGCGGCAGGTGGAGGTGCCTCGGAGACTTCACCTGTAGGTGGAGCATCCTCACTACCAGGACTGCTGGGAGACTCTTCCGTGTCTTGTTTTTTCATGTCTAAACCAAGAAAACGAAAATGTAACAAAAACCCCCCCGCAAACTTTTGAACTACAGTTTATCGGTTTAGAAGAACATTTTGCCTCCAGACTCAGAAGTACAATACAGAATACAGAAATACAATAAACCGTTAAAAATTTCACATTTAACTTTGCGTAAACTGTTCAGCATACATATTTTTTAACCAAGCTAAAAGAAATGTCAAACTAGGATTATTCCTAGGTAATTCAAAGCAAGAGCTTTCAGTTTCCATTTCAGCACAGGCTAACCCTGGTTAGCAGCTACATGTAGCTCAAACTGCAACCAGAGCAGCGTTAGCTTGAGACAGGAGCCAGAAACGATTTAAAAACAACCACCATAAACATGGAGGGCTTTATATACGTCAACAATGTCATACACCGTTCCTTACCTGAAGAATCCAGAGAGAAACTGCTAATGTTATCTGTGAAGAAGCAGGCTTCGTTACCAGCGTGAGGTCTGTGTTGAAAAACCTAACTTCCGGTCATAACTTTGGATTTCTGTTCTTCGTCGAGCAGTAACAACGCGGTTCAAGGTTCAGCGGGCTGCTTGGCGCCCTCTACAGGGTTCATTGAGTTATGCTCTAAATAATTAATGGCGTTTAAGAGGGTAAAAAAACCAAACCTCACTTACTTGTTTGAAAACAAGATTCAGTAGTTCATGAAAATTAAATTAATAAAATCACCCCTCAATGAACAGAAACGTTTATTCAATGAAAATAAAACTATAGTGAAGTACAGTGCTGTTGTCATTAACGGCTAGGAAAGGGTTCTTATAATCTTGTCAGAGTAGCTCTTCACAACTTTGGTTGGAAGCATTAAAGACCTGAGAAATGTTTTTAAATATAAAAGGTGAAGTTGTCACATGTTTTCTCTGTTATGTTTGCAGAAATAGCATACCATAACTTTTACACCTTTTATTGAAGAAAATGGCTTCTCATTGTAAAGCCTTAAAGTTACATATAATTAAATAAAAATAATAATAAAAAAAACCTTATCAAGCCCAAAGGGAAGCTAAATGTTTTTGTAACTTACAGTGTAATATCCAAAGTTCTTCAAAAAGGCTGTGGGCAGGAAAGATTTCCTGTGGCGGTCTGTACTTCAGTAAATCTGAATAAGCCTCTGAAGATGCAATGCTTTTTGTATAAAGAAGATACTTGAGATTATCTATAATTGTCTTGATTTTATGTAAAATCCTTTTCACCATCATCTCCAGAGGTTCCACAGCAGTCCCTAGAACAGAAGCAGCCTTCTTTATTAGGTTGTTGAACCTTTTGTAAGCACCTGGTTTATAGCTAGGTCTTTGATTAAACTAGAAAACATACACAGTCACACCAGTCGCTCATAAAACTTGACTCGTGTACGTTTTACGGCTCCAGCCAAATTTTCTTTATTAGAAATGAGGGCAAACATGACTCCTTGGATTTGACTGATTGCCTAGCACCCCGGGCCTAGAAAGAACCAGTCAGAACTGAAGCAATGACACACAACAGTAAAACCTGTAAAAGAAAACTGAAGTTTGGGGCATTGAAGCTGCTTCTGACTTGATGTTTTTGAGTTATGGGAGGAAGTACCCAAACAATATGGGGATAAATATGCAAAATGTCTAGAGAAAGACAAAAGATCTACTTGATGAATGAAAACAATACTAATTCCTGTGCCATTGTGTACCCTCTGAAGAAATCCGGTAAATCTTTAAATGTGCAATGATGGGATTCCGATTACATTGCAGGAGTATTCATGGTCGATGTGCGTCGTTTTGTGGATTTTAACATATCCACAAAACTTCAGTGTATTTTGTCATGACTTGATTGTAAAAGCAGGGTTTACTATATATTTTACAATTTCTTTTTTTTTTTTAAGTGTGAATGCTTCCAATTTTGTTAGTCATTTTTGCAGACATCACAGCAGTAGGTATTTGGGTCATCTGACCTTCTTCCACACATAGAAACTGAAATTTTGCAAAGTAGCTCAACAGTGAGACCAGATGGGGCGAATCAGTTGACAGGCATTTCTAGGTCTCGTAACCATCGATTTGAATCAGATCTGGACTTTCACTGGGCCATTCTGATACATACATGTACTTCAATCTAACATCTTTTTCAGAACCACAAAGGTCCTACTTGCCCAAACTGTAGCAGTTTGTCTCTCCTCGGGTCCAGTTTCCCTTCCTGTCACAACTCGCCCACAAGAATAAATTACATCCATGAAAGGGTTGAAACATAACTTTATTTGTTTTGTACAGTATTTCCTCTGAACAATGTTAAATTCAATACAGATTCTTTACATTTCTAATATTGTTGCAGATTCCTGTATGCGCTGTTTTTTTTTTTTATTTTCTCTTCCATTTTTATGTTTGTGTATCATGTTCAGCTGAAGTGTGGTTAGGTTCTTGTCACTCATTCATACCGTCGGTAAAGTCCAGTCGAGTCACAGTATACAACATGGTTAATTTGGAGCAAAAAAGAAAAGTACTGACCGGAAAAAAAAAAGAGGAAAATAAATAGAGACAGAAATGAGAGGACCGGAGTAGAGGATGCACCAGGACTGGTTAGTGATGGCATACAAATATGATTTTACAAACGAGGAGTATTGTAAACATTTGTAGCATAGACGTCGAGCCGAGCCGCAGCGTTAGATTTTCATAAAGACACCAAAAGCGTCCAGGACGGAAGACAAGTTAAGATGTGATTTTTTTTTTTTTGTGAAGAGGTTTTTTTTTTTTTATTATTTTTTTAACTCCCTCCCCTATTAAGTAACAAGTTTCCTGATCGTGCAGCCTGACTGAAACAATCAATATCCTAAAAATGATAGAAATCACCACATCTAGACCAGGAAAAGAAGAGAAGCAGAAAGGCTTTTGGATACTCACCTCCTCTTCGTCTTTTTTTTTTTTAACGCTTAATTCATCCTGTTACAAGTTCTACTGAGGCTTTTTTTCTCCACTTCTCAGAAGTGATCAGAATTGTAATTGAATCCCTGTCAATGTATCAGAACATACATAGTTTAAATTATAACACTTTAATGTAAATTGCTGCACGTTTTTTTTTCCCTGAATCTCCACAGTTTAATACTCAGGGGAAAAAAAAAACAACTAATCATCAAGAGTTTCCCTCTGACCTCAAGTCGCATGAGATCAGGTTTGTATCTCGTCTCAGATTTAAATGCAGTCTTCGGAATTAGATTCAACTGAGCTTAAATTTGGGAGAAAAAAAAGAAGAGTTTTTTCTCTCAGGGAGGGATTGAAAATGCTGCGATGAGGGTGACAAAACTTTGGTAAACTAACTGGCAGTGAGATTGGTGCCTGCATCAGTCTGCTATGATGGTGATTTCTAGTTATGCATTTGCATCTAGTGCAGCTATTTTCGACTTTTCGTACAATGAACGGGGACGTCGGCTTGAGCTAAAGGCTAAACACCAGTCTCAACAGAAACCGGTGGCACAATTCCAAACAGCCATGCAGCAGCAGAGCTACACGCAGCGAAAACCACAAGTCATAGAGAACGTCCCGTCAATGAAAAACATCAGTTTTATAGAGTCAAGTCAGTCCCTCGCCCAACCACCCGCTCCCAAAACCCAACCCAGATAATTAGACATCATTGTTAAAGAATGCCACCTTAATAAACAATGGCAAATAATGTAACTTGAAAGATAAGGAAAATAGAGCAGCAATGGTTTGCACAAAAAACATGTGCACATTCAAGTAAATAAAGATATAAAGAAATAATCTACGAGTCAAAGACAGAAACGCAGGATCCTCCAGTCTTTGTTGGTCGGATTGGCACTTTAGTGAGCAGGAGTGCATTTTGATTTTTAAGAAATATAAACTTTTTCTCTCTCTCTCTCTCCTTGATGCAATGATTTTTTTCTTTAATATATATATATTTATTTATATATATTGCAATTCTGGCATTATATTTGTAGGCCAAGCACAGAATTGGCCAGGAAACCAAAGACTCCAGGGTCTAAATGCTGCTCTACACTTCTGTCGGGTAGAGGTAAGATGTTGTTGCTTAATTCATGATTCGACTTCTCGCGTCGACCGGGAGCACTTGTATTCTGCGGATAAAACTCGGCACAGAGTCATCTGTCAGATTATGTTTAACACATCTTGCAGAATGGTGCTTAACGTGGTGAAAGGCAGATGAGAAACGCCAGTCAGAGGTTAACTTTTAATAATCATGCACACAAATGTCACATTAATCTTGGGGTTTTAATGCCTTTGAAGGATTGTTTGTCCAGGCTGGGATGATAATACAAACAAATTGGATTCATTTTAAGTTGGAATTTATTGTGGCTTTTCTGTCCAGGCAGGTTGATAATTATACATACCCCCTCCCACCAGTATATTTCTTCAAAAAGATGTCTGAACAAGATGAAAGTCAGGTGACTCGTCTGGGCAGAGATAGTCATTTTCAATGACAGATGCTAATGTTTACACTGGCTAACCAAGAAAGACGCCAGTGTTTCTTAGCTAACCAAGAATGTTCCATCTAGCTTGAAATCCATCTTCAATCTAGATTGAATTAGCTCACATGGATGAGCAAATTCACTGCCAGGAAAACAGAAAAATTGGATAAAAAAAAAGACCTTCAAATATTCTGCCAGTTGTGCTAGAAGCTTGTTAATGGCGACAAAAGGCATGCAGCTTTCTGCAGCTTGCTAAAGGTTAAGTTAGTCAAGTGCAAAGGGGAGCTAACTCAGGGAGGTGTATGTATACTTCCAGGTAGAACTGAGACTGCCTTGATTACACAAGAACTTACAGTCATTCCACAACTCAAAAGCATTAAAAAGCCCCAAATTAATACAACGCATCCACAGTGAATGGATGAAAACCTCCAATTGCAACTATAGATTATACAAAAATTGTTTACCACTTTGGGGTTCCAAGAAAAGTCAGAATAATCCTCAGAAGATTGTTTTATTTGGTTACTTTAAAGAAACCTGATTGTGTTCATCTTCCATACATTTGAGTGCTTCAGTAATCCACAGAACAGCAGCGGTTCCCTTTCCTCCCCTCCCGACTCTGATTAGGACATATTCTTGATAGAGTCAATAGACCTACTCCCTCACACAGCGCCTGTCAGTCAAAACTCACACGAGCACACTTCTACTTCATCTACAGCGCCTCGACACGGACCAGAGACCGGCCTGAACAGAAACAAAGCCAATCCCTGGTCAGCGTCAACTCAGCTAATCTCAACCATCAGAAGTCCTGTGGCTAGAAACAACGACAAGTTTCCATAGCAATAAGCAACACTGCACTTGATCAGTTCATTCAACAAAATATTTACTACAGAATAAATGGGAGCTAAAGAAAGTTTGTGCTCAAAACTGAACATTTTACTACTACTTTTTTTTTTCCTTTCTTCTTAATGGAAGCTAGTTTTTGTTTCTAGTCACTCATCTGTGTTTCAGTTGGTGTTGTATGCAAGTGTGCATGAAGTGTACGCAAAGATATATATTAATGCAAATACATCAAAATCCAAATATACTTCTATTTAGATACTTGAACTTTTGTTGCAGTTAGGCTTGTCACTTATCTTCAGAGCTATCTCCCAACCCTCCAGCTGTTATTAGACCCACACAGAAGCAGCAGAATTGTCCTGGCTGGGCAGAGGAAGAGGCTATTTACATGAACAAAACACCCACACGTAAGCACAACTGTCCCATGCAAAAAGTCGTTAGCGGTTGTCATCTCCATTCCTCAAAGATATAGTGATATCGAACGCCAGAGGCTATTAATCCAACTCTACCACTAAAGAAAACACCACCGTGGTCACTAAACTATCACTATTCACACCACCTAAAGTTATCGTGTTAGAGTCCAGCTTCTTCTTCGAGTCCCGCGTGTTGTTTTACAAGGTACCTTTCGCCCCTCTGTACCAACAGGTTGCGCTTGGCGATGAATCCTCTGTGGCTGCAGGCAGGGTGGTAAAATACCATGCAGAGACCCCCACCACAGGGCCCAAGCAGAAACCTGTTGACACTGCAGGGGGCCAGGAGGTGGGGTTCAGTTGAACCACTAAACTATGATATTTTCTCTACTGCAGAAGGTTTTTCCACCTTCTTTTTAAATACAGCCAGATAGAAAAAGAAGTCCGGTTTGCTGCCAGCGCAGCAGGCTCTGCTGAACCTTGACCCCTCCTGAACTCTGCCTTGTTTAATAGATCACTTCATAATTCAAATGTTATTAACACAGCAAACAATGAATATAAGGATATTTAAATATCCCGCCCTCGAAAACAAAAACAGAGGATTTTTTTATGGTTAAAATAAAAAAAACTCTTAACCTTCACCAAGATCCCAATCACAGTCCTTCCTAGTTTCAATGTATTCTGTTACCTCTCATCTATTCCCTCCCCACTACAACGTAAAAGTCGTCCCTTCGCTTGGGCGGCAGGTTTAGGCCAGCCCTAAGCCTAACACAATTAGGGTATTTCTTTATAGAAAAGAAAACAAAAAAGACTTTCCATTTACAGAAAGAAAAATACATATAAAGGAGAAGATAAATAAGGGTTAGAGGTAAATAATAAAAGCTAAAAAGGGAGGGGGAACAAAAAAAAGAAGAAAAAAAGGTACGCCTATGTTGCATTGCACAAAATCAAACTGGTGTCACAAACTGGACGCCCCCTGTTTGTGGACTGCGAGGGGATGCATGGGTAATCCAGAAAACAGGAATGTCCCACTGGTGAAGAAATTTCGATAAAGATCCTAACTGGTTGCTGCTGGCGACCGGAGCTAAAAGCTACCAAACGGCAGGAAGAAGTCCTTGTGCACGTTTCGAACCGCTTCGGGTTTTCAGGTGATCAGTTCCCCCAACTTGGTTATTAGTTTGTAAGAAATGCTCCCAATGGCCAGGAAAAGAAAACAAACAACAAAAAAAAAAAAAGTCTGCCCTGTGCGCTAGTTGTCCAACTGGTGGGAAAGCATAGCCGGAGAGGGCGGTTTTAGGGCTTAAGAGGGCGACAGTTTAAGCTTTCCTCCAAAGGGCGGGTTTGTGTGTGTGTGTGTGTGAGTGTGTGTGTATGTGCTTGGAGAGATCAGGCGAGAGAGCACAGTGGCATGACTTGGGCATCATGGGGCCTTCCACAAAATGGGGTGGAGGGGGAGTTTACAGAAGGGAAAGTGGGTGAGTGGTGTACTTAAGAAAACTTAGAGCTGGAAGCCCTCCATTGGAGCTTCTTGCTGAGGGAAGAGGAACTGCTGGTTGGCCTGGTCCACCTGAGGAGCTAGACTGCTGTCTTCATCCTCCACCCCGAAGTAACGCTCGATCAGGTCAAACGCCTTCTGGTAGATCTCCTGGTTGTCGTGGCTCTGGAGGAACTCAATCTTGTCTAGTCCTGTAAATAAATAAATATAAGGTAACTTTATTTATATAGTACATTTTTAGCAACTAGGCAATTCAAAGTGCCTAGTTGCTGACAAAAGTCTCAGGAACTGGGTCTTAAAATCCTCTGGATCTTTTTGTTCTAACTAATAGGTTTGATTCCCGTTCTGGGCTGAGTGTCTAAAGTAATAAGTGTAAACAAGCAGAAACTTTGCATATAGTATATTAGGTCATATAGGTCATTCTTAATTGGTTGAGATCTTAACTTAAAAACCAACAAAATAAATCATGAAATCTTACAGATAAATTGAGAAATTGTCTGCTTTTTAGTATTGGGCAATTTTAGAAAAGAGCAGGCAGAAATATCTGATCATTCACAGATCTGATCTGTGAATGAATCGTTCAAAGATTCATTCTAACAACAACAATTTTATAGCTAGTTCACAGGGAAACATTTTTAAGTCGATTTCTGTCCTGATTTTCTCCTTCTGACAATCTTAACTGCATTTCCTCAGGTCACATTGACACGTGGCAGGAGGAAATCACACCCTAATTTACAAGACTCTGAAATCCTCTCAAAATAGTATAGTATAGAGATAAAATAAATGATTCAAATCTGAAGCATTTACTTAAACAGCAGGATCTATACATTCAGTCTATGGTTGTATCTACAGGTTAATGTCTTATTGAAAATTGTCTATAAAATCTAAGTGGAATATTTCTTAACTTTAGCCTGAAATCACCATCTTAATGAAGCTAATTGCTCTTTCATAACATGCCAGCAGACATTACGATATTCAGAGTTAAAAAAAAAAAGGTAGCTATTAGCAAATGTCAGGATGCATAATAAACCTCCATTGTAAAGATTCTGTGTGTTCGTATGAGTGAGCGGCGTACCGTAGGCCTCTTCGATGAGGCTGCAGTAGGGATTGACGCCGGTGCCGTTGTTCTCCTGTTTGGCTTCCTGCTCGCCCAGCCTCAGGATGTTTTCCAGCCCGTTAAGCGCCACCTGAACAATCTTGGAGTCCATTACAGTGAGGAGATCACACAGGGGCTTGATGCAGCCCAGGTTCACCAGGTACCTGAATACAAACACAAATGGTTCATATGTTAACATAGAGCAAGAGACCGATCACAGGGGAAGCAGAAATGGACAAAGGCATCTCTATGTCAAACTAAAATGCACCTGATCTGCTCTGGTGTTCCTCCAGATGTAGCGTTGGTGATGGCCCAGGCTGCCTCTTTTCTGGTTCTGAACTCCGCTTTCTGCAAAATTTCAATTAGGACTGGAAAGATGTTGGCATCAATCACCGTCTGGAGAGAAACAGAGAATGAGATCATTGTTATGAGGCCTGGAGCAGGAGCTGCAGCGGCTCAGACCAAGCACACTTTTTACACCAATTGGTTTTTTCTTGAAGGGATTTGTCCACAATATGATTGAGTAATAGGAGAATATCTGAGATTAATATATTGAATATTAATGGAGGCGTCATATTACTGCTGTAACAGTAACAGTGATTTCCTTCACAGTGAATAAAACACACTTGTCAATCACTGTGAGCTGGAGCATAATGTGCTTGGAATGAAACGCTGCATTACAATTTATCTGGATAATAAACCCTTTACATCGTCATAATAATGATAATCTAGAAAGGTTTGCATGATTCAAAGAAGGAAAAATGAGGGAAAACACCAAGCAGCAAACTGCTTCCACTTCACATATTTGTACTAGTTTGTGTTGTGTCTAAATAAAGCACATTTTAATCCATTATGATTTTAATTCCAAAGTATGTGCAAAAGTAAAAGGACAAAAACACAAAATCTTATTTTAAACTACTACAAACATCATGATACACTTGACATAAGACAAAAATAACTTACAGGTAATTTAAGCAACATATGAGCTTGATTTAAGTACATTTCTTAACACTGATTAAAAAAACAGAAACATTAGATCCACTGGCAGATTATTTCACTAATAGCAAGACATTTTAACTAAAAGAGTAATAATCTGCCAAAGGATCTAGTACTTTTTCCATCAATATTAAGAAATTATTTACTTAAATCAAGCTTCTGCACATTTCTGAAAAGTCACTTGTAAATCAGTTTTGTCTTATTTTAAGAGTACCAAGATATTTTCAGTAGAAACTGCACAAACATACCTAGTAAGATTTTGTGTTTTTGCAGTTGATGTGCAGAAACACACAACTCCTACCTGTGAGTCTGTAAAACAGCTTTTTAAACAGTAATATTGGTTACATATACACACATCTCGTTCAATCTAACTTTTATTAATAGTTTTAAAAATGTTGGGGGGAAATGTTCCATCAAGACAGCAGCCTCACATTAACTCAATCTAAGGGACAACAGGGGTTTTCTCTCAGCTCGTTTCTGTGTCAGTGATGTGTAAAGGTCACCTGTATTTGCGCTCGGTTTCCAGCTGTGATGTTGGAGATGGTCCAACAGGCTTCCTTACGAATCGACTCCTTAGGACTGCTGAGGAGGTGCAGCAGGCAGGGCAAAGCTGAGCAGTTCAACACCACCTAAATGCAACAACCAACCAGACGAGGACATGTAGGTTATTGACCTCGTTAAGACGTCCTGGCTCTGATTGGTTGGTTTTGTATGTCTTCAGACAGCAACATTAGCTCAAGGAGGAGGTGGAGAGTCTTTCCACAGACAATCTCTCATATTACAGTCACAAAATAGTGACTTGTAAAAAGTAGATAAAAAATGTTGTTTTTTTCATAAAAGTTACATATTAGAGCCTTAAAGTAAATGAATCATACAAGTAAAACTCCATATTAATGTATTTCTCTTCCCGTCAGGTCTGAGCTGATTTCTGAAACAAACCTGTGTCTGAATGTCGTCTCCAGTGACGATGTTTCCGACGGCCCTCAGAGCAGGAGAAGCCACCTTGTAGTCTGTGTGCCTGCAGAGAGGAGCGATAAGTAACAGCAATCATCAGGACCATGTTTTCAGAGCTGCGATTTAAGGGTGACAGAACAACGGGTACGGCGACAACACCAAACGCACATGAGCAGCTCCACCAGCCTCCTGCACACGCCTGAGTCGATGACAGCCTGGATCTTGTCGTTGGGGCCGTCGGAGAGGTAGGAAAGAGCCCAGCAGGCGTCTGCCAGCAAGTCTGGGTCACTGCTGAATAAGAGCCTGGACAGCACAGGCAGACAGGGAGACACCTGGACAGGACAAGTTTACGGTTGGGATTATCATTAGGGGCAAATCTAATGGGAGACAGAACTTTTCACTGACGCAGCAAAAGATTATTTTAAATCTCTTCTAAAGTTTCTGGACACTGAGATCAAGCCTGACGGAAAGGCAGCCAGACCGGCTTAAAGCAACAGTACTGGAGGACGACATGTGGCTACTTTTAAAAACAAGTAACCATTTGCCAACTAATTGTCAATGTCAAATAGAAAACTACTTCAACCACAAATTTCAGGATTATTCAGGAAGATTTTAGAGCACTTTGGACATTTGAGGAACTTTTACAGCGTTGGGTTTGATGATCTTCATGTTCCACAAATAATCAAACAGCACAATGTTATATTTGGCTCCCAATTCTGGGTCATTTCATTGCTTCTTTGGCCAAAGGACTGAGATCAACTCCATTTCAGAAATCAGCAAGAAGCGTGTTTATGTGGAAGTGTCACCTTTTCAAAAGCAGGTGGAGGATTTTTGCCTCTGCAGAGATTAGACAGAGCCCATACTGCATTCCTAGTCATCGTCAGTCTAGTAGATTTGGTCAAAAGCCTGAAAAAAAAAAAAAAAAAAAAAACACAAACTCAGACGATAACATCATGACAGAAATATGTCTCAGGCAGAAACTTGTTTGGGCTTGGTCACTGAGCAACAAAACTGTAAAAAAAAAAAAAAAAACGTAGGAGCTTACAACAGCAGCGGTGTTAGGATGTTGCAGTTCAGCACATAGTCCCTGCATACCGCGCTGTCCCCAGCGATGTTACCCAACGCCCACACAGCCTGGAGAGCACACACAAACATGAGGGCCGCTTTATCTCACCGGGCAGCAAAACAACATCCTGCCTTAGAGCTGAAGCTGAAAAACTTGTTACTTGTTCTTGGACGTCCTCGAAGTCTGAGTTGAGGAGTTCGATGAAGATGGGCACGGCTCCAGCCTCGATGACCGTCTTCGTCTGCTGGGACGTTCCCGATGCGATGTTGGTCAGGGCCCAGGCAGCTTCGAACTGCAGCCGCACAAAAAAAAAAAAAAAAACTATCATGGCACAGCTCAAGCTCTACATTTAAAATCCTAACATTAGGAGTTTTAATGAGCAGACCTGTAGTGTGCAGTTGGTGCTCTTCTGCAGAAACTCCACAAATCGCTCCACGACGCCGGCTGTGTTTATGACCTCATCGATCGGTGGGTTGGGCTCTGGAAATAAATATTAAAGTAATGTATTAGAACAACCAATTAGTTGTTTTTTGATATATCATTTTCATGGTTTGAAACTGTGCTACATAAACATGTAACATGTTGTAACTGCAGTTCCAAAGCCACGACGCTACGCAGCATCAGCTGGTGATCTCTATTTGGAAACAGAAGAAGCGTTTACATTTCCACATCCTGCTAGTTCATCAGTTATTTGGAGATTTATGAGTAAAAATGCCTTAAAACATATTTTAATGGCTCAGCAGAAAATAAATACTGTATTGAATCACGATGTAGTAAACTGAAACAGCAGCACACATCAGATCAGAGTACTGTGGCAATGATCGGCTGCATTTTAATCAGAACATATGGAATACAATCCTTCAATATGCCTGATGGTCAACAAGGATTTTATACATTAATTTACTATATTTTCCACAATTTACATGTTTTTTTCTCTTCATTACATATTTTTTTGTAACCTGTGCAACTTGTACTCTGGAAAATATGGTGCTTACATTTACCCGTTCTGACATTTACAATATTTGTAATGTAAACTTAAGTGTCCAGCTCCTTCAGACTAGTCAACATCAACTAGCAAACACCTGGTGGAGCTGAACTTCTGTTGAGTTCATTACAGGAGCTACTGGTCAGTGAACGCTGGTAAAAATGTTAAAGGGTTAATAGAGGAGCCATGTTATGACTTCCTGAAGGCGGAGTTGGAGATTTTAAAGAGACAGAGGCCCAATTTCAAGGCATTAAATTACAATGTCAAATTTATTTTAAGTCATATTTAGCATATTCAATATTTTTATAACAACTGAATATAACAGTTACTTGACTGTAAGAGGGTAGGGGTCTGCTTTGGCCTTGGATCCTCTAGAACGGGCCACATCCTGGAGGTGAGGCTCACCTAATCTGGATTTTTATATGTATTGAGGCCAAGAAAGTTACATACATCAGGTAAGAGTCACTGTTTACAACTTATTACCAGAATCTGACTTCAATAATCCTGAACTGTCTGCTTTATTTGTGGTCCCATGCCAAGACGCAATACATTTCTGCTCGTACCACAAACACACAACGTTCTGTACAAACCTTTGGAAAGTAGTTTCCTGAACTTTTGTGTCGTGGCGAGCTGAAGCTCTGGGTCTTCTGAAAAAAGCATGTCCACCATGTCTCTGGTGATGACTCCCTCCTAAACGAGAACGAGCAAACACTCTGAGTGGCTGAGGCCCTCAGCACCGAAATCATTTCTAACATCAACACCAAATCGAACATTTTATCAAAAGCCTCAAATTATTTCCGCTGCTCAAGAATCATTAGGAAAATGAGCCACTCACTGTTGCTGGAGAGTTGAGGTATGAGTCCACCAGTGGACTCTCGAACATGACCTCCTCCTCGTTGAGAACATCCACGTTTCTCCTCTTGAAAAGCTGCAAACAACCACAGAGTCAGAGAGTCATCCTGCTGGAGAAAGGTTTAAACCAAGAAACAAAAACAATAAAATCTGACGAGGGAGACACACCTGCTGTTCTCGTTTTTGTTTCCTGAGTTGGATGCCCTCCTCTTCCCTCCTGCGCCTCATCTCCTCTGGATTCAGTGCTTTGTTCTTGTAGCGGTTCATCCTGTAGTTGTCCTTTGCCGGACTGGCTGACGGTTCTGACGGCCCAGAGAGAGACAGACACGAGGTCAAGACGCCAGCTGGGAACTAGTATTGCATCGTTCATCATTTATTGTGATACGTTTATCATGACAAGACTTTTGGTCTATCCTTGTCACAATTAACTCCAATTAATGATGTTAAAAAAACCAGCCTTTGTTATCTGGTTTGATAGTTTTACCATTTTCTCCAGTATTTCCTCAAAAGCGTCAATAAATATAAATACATTTGGTTAGTTTAGTGATACAAATCACACCTCTTTATGTGACTGCTGTCCTAGAGAAGAGCATTACATATGGGCAACATTTGTGTTTTAACACACAGTTACAGTCATATAGTTGCCTAAAATAAATGTAAGAAATGGTTCTTACAATAATAATAACACTCACTTTTATTGCCATCACAATGATACTGCAAAATATTGTGATAAAAGTCCACTACAAAACTACTAATGAAAATAGATATTTTTCCCACAACATTTTTTTTCTTTTTTATTCGACTTTTTCTTTATTTGACTACTATTCAGAACGTATCTAGACTCTACAGATATGCATCTCCTGTTTGTTTACTGAGCCCAATTATTTTACTATTATTCCTGCTGTCTGTAAAATGCCTATAATACTTGAAGGAAATACAGTTACATTTTTTTTTTAAATGTGTCAAGAAGTATGAGTAAACATGAGACAGATTAAGTTTGACTTCGTCTCTCCCGCTCAGGTTTCTAATATTAGAAAGAGACTGGTCGGAAAGTCTTGCAGAAATTAGCTTAGAAAGAAAAAAAAAAAAAGAAAAAAACAAGTTAAAAATACACACATGACCATAAGCTGCTCCTAGCAGAGAGGAATTTCATTTTTAATTTAATATATTTTTGAGAAACATGCCAAAAAAGTCTCAAAAAGACCCCTCTCCCCGGTGTCCTAAGGTTAAATATTCCAACAAGCTCTGAAAATTGAGGTCACATTTTGTCCAAGCAGCCTTGTAAAAGGTATGTAAAGTGGGAAGCAGATGGTGGAGCCGCGGGGATTGACAAACACCAGTAACAGCAGGTTGCTCTCATTTTTTTTTTTTCTGCGAAAAAGGTAGCTGGTTTATATTCTTTGTGACAACTGCTTGGCCTGTTTGGCCGTTTGGGCAAGGTGGAACAAAAATAGCCCGGCTGGGAGTTGTGCGTCTGCACTGGAAATTCCCCAAGATCCCCGCTGGCAAACAGGGACCCCTCTGGGGTACGTAAAGCAGAAAAGGGGAGGGGAACTGTTGCGCGTTTGTTGACTGGGCTTGCTCATGGCATCGTCTAGCTAAACCGAGAAGGAAATGACAACCAAGAAGCCAAAAAAATCTCTGAAATAAATCAGACGACGTGCACATTGCAACAAAAAAGTTGACTCTCAGTTTGGGTGAAGCACTCTTATGCAGTGTTGTAAATTTCTGGATTCATATTTCCACAGTTTCAGCTCTATAAATCCTTTTTATACAAGTATACATATACATTTTAAATTAATATGAATGTCTTCTGTGAATTCATAGCTGATCTGGAAGGCTTTTAAATAGAGAATAAAAAAACATGAAGGGGAGGGAGGGGAAATTGGAAAGCTGGATAAATGGAAGGATGACAAAGTGACAAAAAGAAAAGAAAAATGTCTGGAAGTCTGGAAATACTAATATTTTCGTATACTTATACTTCTCAGATTGTGCGGGAATCCTGGCTGTTGTACGATTTGGCATTTCAGTGATGATATCATCAAATATTTCTGGGATTACAGAGAGAGGCAGTAGCTTCATTTCTGTTAGATTACACATCACGATAGTGTCTTCAGATTACATTTAAACACCGACTAACTGAACCAAGCAGTTTTATCACCCTCATTTAAGTATTTACCAGAAATTGTGCCCTGAGGTAAAAACACAAGCCATCACAAGCCGACGTTAGTTCTACCCTCCGACTTCTAGCCTTACAAAATACAACACAAAAATATGCCAGCAGCGTATTTTTGTGGATTTAAATGAGATTATCGGTCTGAAGCCGACTGAAAACCTTCCAGAAAACACACGGTCTTATTATAACCCGACCCCCAATGTTGTATAACTGTGCGGGGTCTCTGGAATGAGGCTGAATGACAGAGCTAAGGCACCTAAGCTAGCACACATGCCAACACGAATTTATACCTTATTGTCCAAACTGCTGTACTTTGCCAATATATCTAAGAACGACGAGACACTTGGCGACTCCTGCTTAGTTAGCGCGATGCATTTACGGGTTAAATAGCTTGTTTAGGTTGTAGATAACAGACTAAACAAATACATGTAAATAACTTGATAACGTGGTTCTCGATGCTTGCTTGTACATAAAAATGGGAAGGTAGGACACAGAAAATGTAGCTACAAAATTGACTATAAGAAGGAAATATCTTCACGAAAATGGTAAGACCTTTGGCTAAAAACTACGTGGGTCATTGTAATGGTAAAGCGCGATGCTAACGTTGTTAGCACCTAGCCAAGTTTTCTCAAGTTAGCTTCTCAAGTTAGCACTCGCTTTTTGACGTTGTTTAAATTAAACGTTTACAACTTGACTAATACATCTTAACAAGTTTAAAAGTGTCACCAAACCGAATCGATAAATGGTCGTTCACTTAACCCCAGGTTAAAACGCCATAAACAATTTCCAACTGCGTGCATACGCTACATTATTAGCTACAACAGCTAACGTGTTAGCTAAGTAGCTACACTAAAGTCACAGACTTATTTTCTAATTATTCCCTTCGACTACACAGAAAACACTTCAGTCACCTGAATACTTTTAGATACAAAGACGACTTACCCATTATGGTGTTTATGTTTTAAGTATAGTAAGCCGTGAAGATGTATACCAAGTTCAAATCCTTTTCCCCACTGCTAGCTTTCCAGAATTTGCTCCAGTAAGCAATATGTCCGCCGGAGACGGAAACATTAAAATATAGAGCGACTTCCTGCCACCAGAGGTCGCCCCAGTACCACAAACATTTGTTTGACTCCATAGTACGGTAACTGTAAATGTAACCACCAAGTGACAAATTTAAATGACAATTTCTTTAGTGAAATATGAGCTTTAGTTATCAGAAACACAATACATTGCCGTTACATTGTTGTTGTAAGGTAAATATATATAGCATATATGTTTATAATGTTACATTTTACAATGTGTTTATGTGTTATAAATACATTTGCAGTACAGCTCATTTTAACAATGCACTAAAATAAAATAAATGACCAAAAATAAGGTAATTAAAATCAAAACATAAACAACATTGCTGATGCAGATGATTTTTGTCAGGACGTAGACTAATTAATGGACACAGAGACAGATACTTTCACAAAGAGACCTGGAATAAAGTCAGGAATAGAAGTACTTTCAGAAACAATAATTTCTTTTCCATATCTATCTAGATCTGTATAATTCAGATCTGTAAAATTCATAGACTTTTCCAAACTTTTCTGAACTGCACAGGAACCCTGATGTTCAAATCTTAAAGCATCTGTGTACCACAAAAGATTTCATCTTTTGTAATCTCCGGTGTCTCTCTTGTCAACATCTGGTGTTGTCAGAACCAGGAAACAACTCTTTGAGGTACAGTTGTTCAGCAAAAACGTGCATTGGAAAAAGTAAGGGTTATCATTAGGTATAGTTGTTGAAATCATCCACCATGCAGAAATTTCATTTAGCAGGATGAACTGTCATAACAATGGTATTCTCTAAGGCATTTCATAGCATTCTGGTGACACCAAAACACATTGAAGTCTCTAATTAGTCAGAAATAGCTTTAGAGAAGCAGAAATCGACAAGCTGTTTGCTAAATGTGTCCAAAGTCTTGATGCAGTATACAAATAACCACATTAGATATGTGGGGCCATACACTCTTCAATGTTTCTTTGTTGATGCAAACCCTGACATTTAAAAAAAATTATTAATTGTTTTCTTGTCTTTTTCTTGTGCCACTTCAAGGCACTTAAGTGTTAGAGAATAAGCAGTAGCTGAGGGGTTCAATTCTGGTCAAGGATCCTATTATATCAGTGTTGGGAAAACGACAGACACATCCAGACCAAAATGGGCTCAGTCAGTGATGCTTACAGGCTTTTTGGCAGCACTTGCACAATCAGCAGACAGACTAAAGACATATAATGTCCAACTACTATAGCAGTGCCAACATCCTGCTATAGGTCACCTTTCGCATTTTAGCCTGACAAATTAACAGATTTAGCTGTCAGTTCCTCTGGGCTTCGTTTTTCCAAGGCTGACAATAAGAAATGTTGCCTTCTTAAGTGACATCTTCTCTTTTTGTGAAAACCGGCTTAGTTTTCAATAATGCTGACCGAGACTAGAAAGCGGGCCCACATCACATCTATTTAAACTCCACGCACCGGATATCTGTGAACTGTTGTTGAGGAAGAAAGCAGGTTCTGTGTAAGCAATTCAAGAACAAAAGAGAAAGATGTTAAGGAATGCTGAAATGTTGGAAAAGCTGGTATAACAATGTCGCCATTCTCAGTAACATGATATCTGTATCGATGTGGGCTGAAAGGACACTCAGAGAGGAATAAGCTAATACACTAAAAGAAACATGCAAAGCTAAATTACAGTTTGTAAATGCTTTCAGGAACAAACACATTGATTTTTATTTGATCTTATGCAAGTGCAGTTGAAGTGTTTGACCATTACATGTGGAGGGAAAAGGGGGGTAGCTTGAATGAAAAGTACAAGGGTGGCAACATACTGTTGGGGGGTGTTTATGAAGCTGCAGGGACTGGTGCACTAGATGGCATAGCCCTGATTTCAGTCAAATAGTAGGGCTGAAAAAATCCTGCCAGCTTGGCATCGTACAAACCTGATTCTGTAGGTTTAGAAAGCTAGTCATCATTTTCTGTCCATCTGATAATTATGCACTACTTTGTGTTGGTCTTCAACATAAAAGTCTATTGAAATGCACTGACATTGGTGGTTGTAATGTGAAAAAAAAACAGTACAAAGAGGGTGAATATTTTTGCATCACATTTGATCAACAAAGTAGTCCAAAACCATGACACTGCAATATCCATTTCTCTTTTTAATGCACAAGTTCCATGAGGCGTTATAATAATCAATCAGTCAAACTATAACTGCTATAAATGTTGCAACATTCTTAGAAAAATCAGGGTTCCTCACACCCTCCGCCCTCCGTCCTGCTTCAGATGCCCCCCTTTCTGCTGTATCTCTATTTCCTTTTGATTTCAAGGTGCACTGTGAACAGCCACAGGTCCCCAGTGTTTGTTTTGTGTTTTTATTTTCCTTCTCAAATTGAAAGTGACAGAGTAATACAGGTGAGGTGCATCTATGGTCGATTTGCTGGGAGCAGGAGGTGGCAAATTACCGCACCACATTGTGATGCAGCAATGTCCTGTGACACGGGTCCCCAAGGAAGCCGGATGCGAGCCCGGAGAAAACTTTAGGGGGCAATGTTGCACAAATGAAAGAGAGAACGACTTGTGTCGGGCCGGATCTCTGCGCCGCTCCAAAGGGTGTGTGAGGTCAGATCAACTGTAGCATAAACTGAGATAGTTTCTTTGCAGCCATGTGCAAACATTGTAAAGGATCCGTGCTCCCTGACTGTAGCCGGATTGTGCTTTGCTCAGCAGAGCACCAAGGCTGGAGCGTTCCCCCCCCCCACCCATCCCCCACGTCTTCAAGCAGGTGCGGTGGTGCAGAGATGAATCAAAAGCCGGATAGCAGCTTTTTCTATCAGTATTAAATAACTGATACACACCGGACCAATTTGTCCTCCGGAGTCAGCATTCAAATGCTTCTCAGATCCAGACCGTGGAGTCGTAGCCGCGGCTTATCACCTCTGATTTCACCGGCCCTTTACCTTTCTTTTTTCTTTTTTCAATTCTAGGCCTGCTGAAGCACATCACACAACAGCCGACACTCTGCACGGAGATGCAAGGGCTCCCCCATTAGTCAATGCCACAGAGGAAAGGGTGCCTTTGTAATGAGATCACAGTAAAAAAGCAACGTGTATAACTGAAGGGTTTTGAACTGAAGCTCAGAGGGAAATGGTTCCTCTGGCTGCCAGTTCCCGCTTATCGTCGTTCCCTAATGTACAGTAGATTTAATGAACAATACAATCAATACCTTCTGTTTCCTCGCAAATTTAAAATACTGTAAATTAAACAATAATGATAATTTGAAAAAAAAAAAAAAAGACTTCAGCAAGACCTCTCCTGCCAAACTCATTAGTAGACATTATTAGCTGTTCAAGCTGAGCCAGCTATTTTGATAGAATGCATTTTCATTCACTTCAAGCTGGTCCATATCGCTGCAACAGCACAAAGAGTTTAACAATGAAGTGTCAGTCAACGAAGGTTTAGTTACATACAAATGTGTATGTGTCTGGAAAGAAAATCTGAAGATGCGACAAATGTATTCAGTCCACAGTGGGGGGAGGGGTTTAAACCTCGTGTCCAATGAGGCTTTGGGATAGGGGGGGGGGAGGGGAGTTAATGTGTGACAGTGGTCTCCAAATAGATCAAAAACACTCACGTTCTTTTATCCACCCAACCAGAAATAGGTTGCAAATCAGGTCGCAGGGATGGTAGGTGCAGGAATTAAACCCAGATAGCTCAGCTAGAGACACTATGCAGATTATTGGTTACTCTATTTTTATGGTGTAAAGCACCTTGAACTGGCTTATTGTTGAAATGTGCTATACAAACAAACTTGACTCCAAAGTAAGAGCTGTGTCTGCGCTGTACGACTGGTACAAAGTGAAGATTGTTTCCAGCCTCAGCTGAACTCTGCCACGGATGACTCTTGCCACATATCCTGTTTGTGGTGTTCATGGCCAGAAGGCTGAGATGAAGTCATGGAAATAGATTGGCTGCTATTAGTTTTTTCAAATTATTGGGTTCCATTGGCCTTTCCAAAGAAATTAGACTACTCTCTCCAGCCACTCTTTGCCCCAAGTGAGGATTAGCTACCTTCACTTCCTGTTCGCTAGTCATGGTAAGAAGGATAGATGAGTTAGGGTCTTGTCTCCAATTTAGAGTAACCAATTTACCCATAATGCATGTCTTTTGATAACTGAGGAAAAAAATAATAAAACCAAGCATCCACAGGAGGGACAGGTCTGGACAGGTCAGTCACACAAGAAAAGATAGCCTTGCATTTAATCTGACACGCACATGTTTGCATACTTGTTGAGGCAGCAGCTCCACCAATGAGCAGCTCATATTTTAATCCCTATAGACAAATAAAAAATGACTGCACACTCACCGACTACGAATATTTGGCACAAAAAGAAAAGAAGCTAATCACATCAAGGACTCCAAATTCAATTACGAGGCATCAAAAGCAGTTTACTTTTGATTGTGCTTATCTTGTAGCGCAAACATAGCTGATGTGACTGCTGCTTAATTCAATTACACCAAATATGATAATAAGGCCAGTCTGCTGAAATGTGAGAGAGAGGCTTTGGCCACCTCTGGGACAGCGAGAGAGAGAGAGAGGGAGAGAGAGAGAGAGAGAGAGAGAGAGAGAGAGAGAGAACATCTGCAAGGCTCTGTGCCGAACGCTGTGTGCGAGCGCAATAAAGAGTGAGAGAGATAACGCTGTGGGGAGGATAACGTGTGGAGACAGCAGTGTGTCAGTGCATGTGGGGTGTGAATGGAAAAGAGGAGATATGTCTTCATAATATAGTGTTGAAAATCAATTCAGCCTCGTCCGTCCTATACTTTTTTTTTTAATCTGGCGACTGGGGGAAGGGTGAGCGGGGGTCTTCTACCTTTTCTGTCTTTCGCTCACTTTCTGACATCTAGCAGGTGGCGGGGCTGATAAAGTAAGATGCTGAGTAGGTGATTTTTGGACTACTCCTGCGGATCATTCCTTTTGTGCAAAGGGGAGATTTGTGGGGAACCACTTGAATTCTAATGCATTATTTC